GATGCTCGCCTCAGCTGCAAGCAGTTCCTTCTCGAGGAGGGCAACAGTGAGCTCAGTGGGGGAGCGAGAGAGGAAGTGGTCCCTGACTGCGCGCAGAGAGTCAGGGAGGCGGGTGACGATGTGGTAGAGAGTGATCCAGAGTGGGGGGGGGTTGCTAGTGAGAAACTCGGCAGGCATAGCAGCGCGAAAGCGGGCCTCACTAGTCTTAAGGTGGGTGATGAGGTCTGCGACAGTGTGAAAGGAGGCTAGGTCGGGGAACAGGTAGGGGAGAGTGAGGCGGCCTAGCGTGGCAGAAGCGGGTGAGGAGTAGCGGGCAACTACAGCGGTGTAGAGGTCCTTAGCAGTCTTGCACTGGCCGAAGTGCTCGCGTTCGTCTAGCGGCAGGGAGTTGCGAATAGCAAAGCGAGCATGCGCATCACGGGTCTGCCACTGGGAACGCAGAGTGCTGTCAGCAGTCGAGTCAGGGGCAGTGGCATGGCCTAGGGCGTGGTCGTACAGTGAGATATCTTCCTTGGCAGTGAGCTGTAGGAACAGGTGCAGGTCATCGAGCCAGGTTTCGAACTTCACTGGACGGCCCTCGGCATCGAAAGCTAGAACTGGCGGACTAGCCATAGTGACAGTAGCAGTAGGAGCAGTAGGAGTAGCAGTAGGATCAACAGGGCTGCTAGAACGGTCGACGCGGCTCGGTCGGGCGGCGCGGCTCGGTTCAGGTAGGGCGGCGCGGCTCGGTTCGGGTTGCGCGGCTGCGCGGAGCCGCTAAGAGGGGCGGGACGGGGTCGCGGGGGCCTCTAAGCGGGGCTCGACGGGGCCGTGGGGCCGCTAAGCGGGGCGCAGCGGGGTCGAGGGGCCGTGTGGTGGCGGGCGACGGGGCCGCGGGGCCTCTAAGCGGGGCTCGACGGGGCCGTGGGGCCGCTAAGCGGGGCGCAGCGGGGTCGAGGGGCCGTGTGGTGGCGGGCGACGGGGCCGCGGGGCCTCTAAGCGGGGCTCGACGGGGCCGTGGGGCCGCTAAGCGGGGCGCAGCGGGGTCGAGGGGCCGTGTGGTGGCGGGCGACGGGGCCGCGGGGCCTTTACACGGGGTGCGCGCGGGGTCGACGGGGCCGTAAGCGGGGCGCGCGCGGGTCGACGGGCCATGTGGTGGCGGACGACGGGGCCGCGGGGCCTCTACACGGGGTGCGCGTGGGGTCGACGGGGCCGTAAGCGGGGCGCGCGTGAGTTCGACGGGGCCGCGGGGCCACTAGGCGAGGCGCGACGGGGCCGCGGGGCCACTAGGCGAGGCGCGACGGGGCCGCGGGGCCTCTAAGCGGGGCGCGATCGACGGGGCCAGCGGGGCCGGGAAAAAAAAAAAAAAAAAAAAAGAAAGCGCTCGAGGGCGCTAAGGGGGGGAGGCGCTAAAGCGCACTCCGATAGTAGGGCGCACGAGGGCGCTAGTAGGTAGTAGGTAGTAGGTAGTGGTGGGCCCGAAGAGAAGTTAGGTCCTAGCGAAGGACCTGCTCTGAAACCATGTCAGAATGAACGGACTGGAATGACTGAACTAACAAGGAAGGCAGTACAAATAGTAAACCCTAGAGATCTGTACCCCATATGGTCTAACCCACTGTAGCCTAACAGCAACCAACACATATAATGTTTGACATGGTATCGTCCGCGTAACATGCCATGAGTCGGCGCTGAACGGGGGACAGAGCGAAGCCGGGGAGGAAGAGGGCCATATAGCGGTGAAAGATCTCAATGACACAGACGAAAAGTTGAGGCGCCAGAGGACAGCCTTGTCGGACGCCCGTACAGACGGGGAAGGTGAGGTCGAGCATGCTGTTGACCGAGATTCGTGTGTTCGTGTCGGAGTGCGATGCAGGGAGACCGAGGACTGCTAAGGCTTGGAGGACGAAAGGTCGATCGACGAGGTCGTAGGCCTTCCGAAAGTCCACCGTAAGAGCGAGAAGAGGGGCCGAAGTGAAGGCCGCCCAGTCCATGATGTCGAGGGTATCGTTGATTGTATCTCCGATTTTCCTGTTTTTAATGAAGGCGGTTTGTGATGGGTGGATGAGCTGGGGGAGAACGAGCTGAAGGCGGTTAGCCAGACATAGAGCGAGGACTTTGTAATCGGCGTTCATGAGGGTAATGGGGCGGAGATTATCTACTAACGAGGAGTCACCCCTTTTAGGGATAAGGATAGTGCATCCGGCCAGCATGGACGGAGGTAGGCGAGAGAGAGGCTGTGGTGGGGAGAGCAGGGAGTGGAAGGCTGGTGCAGATCGCGGAGAAAATTGCCGAAAGAGTTTCCCGGGAAGGCCGTCTGGGCCGTGGGTTTTTCCTCGAGACAGAGATAGCAGCACTTTTCCAATTCCAGCTAGGGAGAGTGGGGCGCTGAGTCGTAGGAGTAAGGGGTTCGGGATGGAGGAGGGGGGATGTGTTGCCAGAAGGAACTGTTTGGGGTGATGGGGTTGTTTCTGCTGTAGAGTGTCTGGAAGAAGTTAGAGCACATGTTGGTCACGGTGGGGAGGTGCGACGTCGTCTGCTTATTAGGTAAGGTCAGGGAGCTGATGATCGAGCCTTTGACCCGTGAGTTGAGGCCAGAGAGAAAGGAGGAAACTCCCATTTCTCTGTGCCCTTCCACTTTGAGCTTGGCCTTGAGCGCAATCTCGGAGGCTATTGCGGCTTCATACCTGGTCAGATGGAGTCTTGCTTGGTCAAGGCGCTTGGACTCGGCTTGAGTCTAGGGCGTGTACGCTGCATGTCGTTGTAGAGAGCCGATGGTATGTTCCAGATGTGCGATCGTGCCATCGACGCGGCGTCTCTCCTGGTTGGAAAAGCGTTTGAGGCTAAGGGTGAGGTCGAGCTTCCATCTGTCCTAGGCGCGGAAGGGGTGGATGGGAAGACTGCGAGAGTGGAGTCGATGATTTGTGAGACATGGGGGCGCATGAGTAGCTGCTGTCGGAGTCGCCATGGTCGAGGGGCAACTGTTGGGTTGATGAAGCTGAGCGAGCAGAGGGGGGCGTAGAGGTGGTCCGTGATTGCCGTGCGGGTTTGGATGTACGGACATGCAGCAAGACTGGATACGAAGGCCCGAGAGATGTATATCTTGTCGAGTCATGAGGAGGTGGGCGGCGTTGCAGTATTGTGACGCTGCCTCCCATAGAAGGAGAAGACGTCTGTCGGCGTGAGATAGAGTGCGTGAAAGGTGTCGACTAGTGCGTGGTTATCCGTGAGTTTGGCGAATGAAGCGCCCTCGCGCACCTCGAAGTCTTTGGGCGGGCAGTTTCTGTCGATGGGAAGGATTACCGAGTTGAAATCTCTGACAAGCATGGATGCAGTGGCAGCGGTTGGGGCTTCCAGTGCCAGGACGAGCGTGGTGGTCCACCACATCCAGCGTTCGTAGAACTGTGTGGGGGCGAAGATGGCGATAAGGCGGATTTGCTCCCGGAGAAAGTTGAGGTGTACAGTGATAGTTGCCACCGATGAGAGTTGGTCTCCTTGTGGTGCTGTCGGTAGAGAGTAGTGCTTGGGCGTGAGCGGAGGCGTGCCGTCGAAATTTTAAGTCAAGGTTGAGGAACCGTCGATGAGCCGGGTGTTGATGAGGATGACGAGGTCAGTGGGATTAGGAAGTCTTGCCAGCCACGACTTCAGCTCATCCATTTTGCGTTTCCCGTTGATTCCGTTCACGTTAATGCATAGGATGCCTAGGTGCGTTAACATGGCCATGCTATGGAGGCCACCGCACGGGAAGGCGTGTGTATCCACGGCCTGTGTGTTAGGGAGCTTTGCTGCGTGGTCGTGTAGGGCGGGTGGGGGGAAGGGCGAGGGATTGGCGCATTGTTCCAAGGCACGTGGTCAGCTTGGGGGAGGAGGTGCAGGGTGTTGTGCTGTGGCCATGTGCGTGAGGGGGATGTTCTTGTATTAGTGTATTTGCAAGCGATATGTCGTGGCCTGCACGGTGGGGAAGGTCGCTTAGGGCAGTGGGTTCTAGATAAAAGTATTGTGGGCGTAGTGTGTTTGTTGGGGAGGTGTACATTTAGCACGTAAGTGTGGTGAGTTGCGGGTTCCGTTGTTCTATGGAGGCGGATCCCGCTTCTGACTTTTCTGGCTCTTCTCCTTCGTGCGCAGGGGGTTCCATTACCGGTGAGGCTTTTATGTAAGGGTTCAGTTTTCCTCAATTGTGGGGGGGGGTGTCGTTTTAGAGTTGGTGGTCAGTGAGTCTGCGGGGTCGAGTTTTATTGAAATTTTCATTGCATAGCAACTCAGACCTAACCAGCAAAGGCATCGATACAGGGAGCAGCATATGACACTTAGGCACAGGACATGTTCCTCAACTTCTTGAGGAAGTCCTCGAAACCCCCTTCCGTCATGAAGGAAGAGTAACTCTAGGTGAGGTACTTCTCCTTGGCTGCCTTGTTGTGTGCGTTGGCAAGCAGCTGGGCACAGTGCTGTGCAGATTCCATGTGCTGCAGTGCACTGTCGAGCGCTGGGCCGCATTCGAAGTTGCAGGCTACACAGGTCCATGGCTCGACGTCCAGGTCCGTGCCGATGAAGAGAAGCCCGAGGTCGGCACGGAAGGCGATGGGCGCGGTTCGGGCTCCAAGGTCGCTTCCTGTGGGTCGGGTTCAGTGGGGAAGGGCGGGAGCTGGGGAGGTGGAGAGGGGATATATGGGTTGTGGGAGAGAGGGGGGAGGAAGGGGGCGGTTTTGGGGGGAATCTGATTGGGAGGTAGCAGGATGGCGAAATGGGAAAGCAGTGGCGTAACGGGGGGTGGTTAGGAGGCAGGGGCGGGAGAGAGGGGGAGGGGCGGAGACTTTTATCATTTGCCTTCTGCAGCTGGGCAACAGTGAGTTGCGCCTTGTTGCTGAGCCGTCCCTTGCGCTTACAGGGGAAGATCGCGTGGTCCTCCACGCGGTGGTTACTTGCACAGATGGAGCAGACTTGGGTGGAGACATTGACGAGTATAGCCAGCTCGTTACCGCCGATGGGGATCAGGGCTGGGATGGTGCGGAACTCCGGGTCTGCCGTCAGCGAGATTGGGATTCCGGTGAAAATATTGAGGAAAACCCCATCGTAAGGGTCTTGCATGCGGTGGAAGGAGTTGATTCCCGCCAGCCAGCGGGGCACCAGGTACGCCAGCAAGTTTGATTCTTCAAAGCGGGCAGGAACCCGGCGCAGGGAGAGTACGGGGCCCCCTCCGCCTTGGCCGTGGTGAACTCAGGGTGGGGGTCGACGTACGGTTTGACCGAGATGGAACGTCCGGGGGCGAGCTCGATTGGGTGATTGTAGATAAGGAGGAACTCGTGGGCAGATTGTTCAGTAGGCCAGGAGAAACAGATCGTCGCATAGGACCGTCCGGCGAAGTGCATGGTTTCTCCGTTGGTGGGGCGGGCGTCAGGAACAAATCCACAGTCAAAGAGGGATGGCTTCAATTTCGCGAGGATTTTGGAAATGAGCGTGGCGCGGATGTCGTCAGCACTTGCCTCAGGGAAGAGCAGAGTAACCACAGAGTGGCTACTTGTCATGAGGATGGGGGGGGAGGGACAGAGTCGGGGGGGCCGGAGCCGGCTGACGAGAGGAGCACGGCAGCTCGGGTCCGGGGGGCGTCTCCACAGGCGAGATCGCCGTAGCGTTCGTTGAGCAGCAGGGCCAATCGGGGTTGAGGAGCTCGGAGCCGGGTGAACGGGATAAGCGACACTTGGAGCCGAGGCAAAGTCTACAGCGGCGGAGGCGCTCGTGCTGGTGGTCTGCATCACGGGCTTTTCGGGCGTGCCAGCAGGCCCTTCCATGACTCCAGAGGTGGCAGAAGCCGATTCGTCGGGAGAGCTGGGATCGGCGTCGACGCAGGGTTTCTGGGATGCAGGGAGTTCCGTGGGCAAATGGGTGAGCGGGAGGTTGGATCCAGCGGAGTCGTCCGGGAGGTCCATCGCTTCGAGATCCTCATCGGTGAGCTCCATTACTTCATCGAACTGCGGGACGTCAGCCATAGCAAGAGAGCGGAGGGGGAAGGCAGAGGTTGCGGGAACCAACGGGAGAACGAGTGCTGAAAGGAGCTGATGGTGGATAATAAGTAGCAACGAGCAGCATAGGGGGCGGAGCCTGGAACAGGCAAGGTACCGGAGGGAAGCGTCGAGGGAGCTCCTGGTGTTGCAAGGGTGGCGTAAGACTGGTGGAGAGGCAGAGGGGTGGCAATGGCAGCCTGCTTACCCAGAGAGAGTTGGCCGTATGCTTTTGTGCAAAAGGTGGCGGTGCATAAATGGTGCTCCAGCAGGGCTGCCAGCGCACCTTCTTGAGGCGTGGAGCAATTATGGTTACGATAATTCTCCAAGATGGGGGTACTTTCCCGTCTCGTACGGTGGGGCAGGGTATAAACCGATGAAACCAGAAGGTATGACAGGGGAGGAGTTTGGGCCGGTACGTAGAAATGTGTGTATTTTTCAGGTGAGGTAGCGAGCGGGCAGACACAGAGGGATAGTAGAGGACTTTATCGATGGTTCGAGTTCGCGGCGGCCTGTCGCATTTGTTGGCGGGAGGTGTGGAATGTGAAAGAATCCGCCTCTGTTTAGCTAGCGCCACAGAATTAACTTGGCGAGCTAGAGGCAGAGCCTAGGATCGATACGACGGGCTCGGAGCAACGACGCAATAGCACTTTGAATCACTGAAAACGCCCGAGAATTGAGAGAGAACTTGCTTATAATATGGAGATGGGTACACAAGTCTTGGAAGGCATTAAACTCTCTGTTTCCTCTCTGGAATTTATATCTAAAACATGCAATCTCAATTGTAACATCGAACCGCGCGCGACTCGCGGAAATTTGGACTTGGGACGTCGAATTTCCGCGACCTCCGCGCTCACATGTTCGGACCTTGCCGAGTTCATTTCAACACACCAAATGCGTGTGTTACACGAAGTGGTAGCGAGTGTAGCGAATGGTTCAAAACCTTCGCTAGAACTCTCGCTATTTTCGTGAGAGCTTGTGGGGCTGCCAAGTGTAGCCCCCACAAAGTTTCGGACCCAACCGGGTGAACTTTGGTTGCGTGGCGACGCGGACAATCCGCCGTCACCCCAACCTTCCGTGAAAACACCCCCCCTTGGTCCGAGTCAAGGGGGGTCTTAGCGTGGGGGGCAATCCCGTCCCCCACACTTCCAACACTCCCCCTTGCACCCCACGCACACCTAAGCATGCAAGCCTACCCTAGCACAACATGCATGAAGAGCATCTCTAGGCAATGGCTTCGTGAGGAAGTCCGCGGGTTGGGAGTTGGTCTTGATGTAACGAAGCTCGACTTCGTTGTCTTCAACGAGCTTGCGAATGAAGTGGTGGCGGATTTGAATATGCTTGGTCCTTCCGTGAAGGACCGAATTCTTGGCTAGGTCAATAGCGGCTTGGTTGTCCACATAGATGGGAGTGGGGCCTTCTTGTTTGTGCCCAAGCTCGGCAAGAAGACGCCTTAGCCAAACCGCTTCCGTACCACCACGAGTGAGCGCCACGTATTCCGCTTCGGTGGAGCTAAGTGCAATCAAGTTTTGGCGCTTGCTTTGCCAACTTATTGCACCTCCCACGAGGGTGAAGATATAGCCCGAGGTGCTTTGGCGGGTTGAAGGATCTCCCGCCCAATCCGCATCCGTGTAGCCTTGAAGCACCACGGGTCCCTTCTCGTAGTGCAACCCCATACGAGTGGTCCCCTTGATGTAGCGAAGGAGGCGTCGTGACGCTCGCACATGCTCGACCATGGGGTTGGAGACGACACGCCCAAGCACTCCAACGGGAAAGGAGAGGTCGGGTCGCGTGCTCACCGCGGCATACATGCACGACCCAACGACCGAGTGGAAGGTCTTGGCGCTCTCGGGATCCATCGGGTTCTCATCACTCACGGCCAAGGGATGAAACCCCGCTTCCATGGGTGTCGGTGTAGGCTTGCTCTCGATCATGCCGAAGCGATCCACCACACTCTCCAAGTACTTGTGTTGGTGGAGGGCGAGGGTCTTGTTCCCTCGATCACGATCGATGTGCATTCCTAGGTAGTGGGAGACGGCGCCGAGGTCACGCATGGAGAATTCGGCGGCAAGCTTCTCCTTCACGTCCGCTACAAGTGTCATGGAATCCGACACGAGGAGGAGGTCGTCGACGTAGAGGAGAAGAACGAGCTTCTTCTCGTCCTTGTTGAGCACGTAGAGCGCGTGGTCACACTCGCTCCGCACGAACCCCAATGAGAGCAAGTGATCGTCGATCCTCGTGTACCACGCACGAGGGCTTTGCTTGAGGCCGTAGATTGTGCGCTTGAGCTTGCATACGCGGTCGGAATCGTCGTCGAACCCGGGAGGTTGCTTCATGTACACCTCCTCCTTGAGACGACCGTAGAGAAACGCCGTCTTCACGTCGAGTTGTTCCACCTCCAAGTCGAGTGCTCCCGCCAACGCCAAGAGGGTGCGCAACGTAGCGGACTTAGCGACGGGAGCGAACGTCTCGTTGTAGTGAAGACCCTCTTTTTGAGTGTAGCCTTGCGCCACCAACCGCGCCTTGTACCGCTCCACTTCTCCGTTGGGGCCGAGCTTCTTCTTGAAGACCCAACGAGAGCCAACGAGGTAGGCGCCGGGAGGCATGGGGACAAGCTCGTAGACGTCGTTCGCCATGAGTGAATCGTACTCCTCTTGAAGCGCACGCTCCCATTCCGCCGCTTCCGCCGAGCTCATGGCGCCGTGGTAGGTGGACGGGGTGTCGGTGTACGCCTCAAGACACATAGCGTCTCCCCCTCCCTCATCGTCCCCCGCCACGAGAGAGTAGTTATCGAACTTGGAGTTGGGATGAGGGTTCCTTCGAGTGCGAGTGGATGCGAGGGTGGGAGTGATACGAGGAGGAGGAGACGAAGGGTCACGTTCCTTGGCATTTCCTTCATCCTCACTCACTCCAACCGCACCCGATCCATTCTCCCCCTCACTCGCACGAGGAGGAGGAGCCGTAGAAACATCATCCGCCTCATCCGCGGCATCCAAGGGTGGAGGGACGATGATGACCGAGGGCACGTTCGTAGACTTGGAGGGGAAGGTGTCTTCGTAGAACACCACGTCGCGCGACACCACGAGTTTCCCGTGCTCCAAGTCCCACACGCGCCACCCCTTGTGATCCGCGCTTGGACCCAAGTACATCGCCACCCGCGCCTTCGCCTCAAGCTTGGTCCGTGTAGCATCCGGGACATGGTAGTAGCACGTACACCCAAACGTGCGAAGGTCGGTGACGTCCGGCTTCGTACCGCTCCAAGCCTCAAGAGGCGTCTTGTTGGGCAACGCCTTGGTCACGCACCGATTGTGAATCCAAGTTGCCAACGTAACCGCCTCTCCCCACCAATGCTTCTCCGCGTGAGCATGGGAGAGGAGACTTCGTGCCGACTCCATAAGCGTGCGATTCAAGCGTTCGGCGGCTCCATTTTGTTGAGGCGTGTACGGCGTCGAGAACTCATGCGCGGTCCCACGCCCTTTCAACCAATCGCCGAGCTCCCGAGCGGTGTATTCGCCACCTCCATCCGAGCGAAAGCGCTTCACCTTGAAGCCGCTTTCCGTCTCCACATCCGCGACCCATTGCTTGATGGCGGTTGACGTGGCGTCCTTGGTCTTGAGAAGCCGAATCCAACACATCCGCGTCGCGTCGTCGAGGAGCGTGAGAACGTAGCGCGCGCCGCCCTTTGACGCGGGAGTGATCTGTCCACACAAGTCCGTGTGAACGAGCTTGAGAGGTTCGGTGGCGTTCGGCTTCGTGCTTGGTGGAAATGGCTTCCGTGCCATTTTTCCTTCAAGGCAACCGACACACTTCTCATCATCTCCACTCGAGCGCACAAACTCCAAGCCGTTGACAATCCCCTTCATTGCCATAGCTTGAATAGCGTCGTAGTGGAGGTGGCCAAATCGATTATGCCACGTTTTGAGAGTGGTTGTCGAGGTAGCCGCTTGTGTTAGAATACTAGGTAGTGGGGCCTAGGCTTAGTAGCCTAGGCCCACACTAGGAGGTAGGTGGGTGCGCTCTAGAACTAGGAGTTAGGGTTTACGAAGGAGAATTGGAATGAAGAATGATTGAGACTAGCAAGCAGCAGAACACACAAATAGCAAACCCTAAGGGGTTGTACTCACTATTGAGCACCCCACTGCAGGCTAGACAAATAACATTCTGACACACCCCCATAGCCAAAGTGGGGTGTAATCAGCAGAGCACACAAAGCAGTACAAGCTCAGGGTGGATCACGACGTCACCACACATTCTGAGCACAAGTTCAAGAACCAATAGTTTATAATTTATGAGCAAAGCTAGAGGCAGTCACAGAGGGTAGGTGAGGAGGAGGAGGGCTAGACTGTAGGTGGAGAGGAGATAAGAGGCGTCGGCTGAAGCTGCAGACACACGGGCAACAGGAGTCAAACTGGCTCAGTGGCTACCGGAACAAGCGCCCCGGACTACAGGAGTAACTGGCTCCGCGGCTAAGAAGAGCGGCAGACGAGCAACGGACCCACGGGCGACTGGCGCAGCTGGCTACGACTGGGCTACCGGAACAAGCGCCCCGGACTACAGGTGCTGCTGACGACAAGACGGCAGCCTCCGCTCAACCGCCCCCAACAGTCCCACACCCTTCGACACACACCCCTTGGTCCACCCTTAGCTCCACTCCCACATTACCCCCCTAGCGCCACTCCCTCGTCTCCCACACATCCACCCCCCCGCAGCGGCAGCTGCAGCAGTGGGAGACGGAGGAGAAGGAAGGGGCGACGCACACGGAGCACCCCCACACCCGCCACCCCCACACTCTCCTGTCCAGGGGACGCAGGGGGGGGGGGGGGGGGGGGGAGGGCCGGGGCGGGAGAGCGCACGAGGGCGCAGGCAACCGCGCGTGCCGAGCAACAGCGCGGAGCAGGTAGGGTAGAGCGCACGAAGGCGCGGGCAACCGCGCGTGCAGAGCAACAGCGCGGAGCAGGTAGGGTAGAGCGCACGAGGGCGCGGGCAACCGCGCGTGCAGAGCAACAGCGCGGAGCAGGTAGGGTAGAGCGCACGAGGGCGCGGGCAACCGCGCGTGCAGAGCAACAGCGCGGAGCAGGGCGCACGATGCACGAGGCACGAAGCACGAGGCACGAAGCACAAGGCACAAGGCACAAGGCACGAGGGCGCAGGTAGGTAGGTAGGTAGGTAGAGCGCACGAGGGCGCGGGCAACCGCGCGTGCAGAGCAACAGCGCGGAGCAGGGCGCACGATGCACGAGGCACGAGGCACGAGGCACGAAGCACGAGGCACGAAGCACAAGGCACAAGGCACAAGGCACGAGGGCGCAGGTAGGTAGGTAGGTAGGTAGAGCGCACGAGGGCGCGGGCAACCGCGCGTGCAGAGCAACAGCGCGGAGCAGGGCGCACGATGCACGAGGCACGAGGCACGAGGCACGAAGCACAAGGCACAAGGCACAAGGCACGAGGGCGCAGGTAGGTAGGTAGGTAGGTAGAACAAACGAACACAGGCAAAACAAACAAATACACGAGCAAGACGAACGAACACGGAGCGGGCTAGAAGCGACACATACAGCACGAGAGGAACAAGACTGCGGGTGACAGGAAAAGGAGGCGGCTGCACCGGGACCAGGAGCGGCGTCGCATGCAGCTGCAGGGTTGGCTGCTGCAGTGGCGGGCGGCTCCAGTGGCGGCTGCTGCTGTGGCGGGCGACTCCAGGGGCGGCCGCTGCAGTGGCGGGCGGCTCCAGGGGCGGCTGCTGCAGTGGCGGGCGGCTCCAGGGGCGGCTGCTGCAGTGGCGGGCGACTCCAGGGGCGGCTGCTCCAGGGGCGGCTGCTGCAGTTGCTGGCGGCTCCAGGGGCTGCGGTTGCAGCTGAAGGCTCTGGCGGCGGCTGCTGCTGCAGGCTCGGCGGCGGCAGCTGCTGCAGGCTCGGCGGCGGCAGCTGCTGCAGGTCGGCGGCGGCTGCTGCTGCAGGCTCTGACTGCGCCAGGGGCTGCTGCTGCAGGCCCGGCAGCGGCAACTGCTGCAGGTAGAGCGGCGGCTGCTGCTGTAGGCTCTGGCGGCGGCTGCTGCTGCAGGCTCTGGCGGCGGCTGCTGCTGCAGGCTCGGTGGCGGCAGCTGCTGCTGCAGGCCTGGCGGCGGCTGCTGCTGCAGGGCGGCGGCGGCTGCTGCTGCAGAGCGGCGGCGGCTGCTGCTGCTGGTAGAGCGGCGGCTGCTGCTGCAGGCTCTGGTGGCAGCTGCTGTTGCAGACTCTGGCGGCGGCTGCTGCTGCAGGCTCTGGCGGCGGCTGCTGCTGCAGGCCTGGCGGCGGCTGCTGCTGCAGGGCGGCGGCGGCTGCTGCTGCAGAGCGGCGGCGGCTGCTGCTGCTGGTAGAGCGGCGGCTGCTGCTGCAGGCTCTGGTGGCAGCTGCTGCTGCAGACTCTGGCGGCGGCTGCTGCTGCAGGCTCTGGCGGCGGCTGCTGCTGCAGGCCTGGCGGCGGCTGCTGCTGCAGGGCGGCGGCGGCTGCTGCTGCAGAGCGGCGGCGGCTGCTGCTGCTGGTAGAGCGGCGGTTGCTGATGCAGGTTCGGCGGCGGCAGCTGCTGCAGGGTCGGCGGCGGCCGCTGCTGCAAGTCTGGCGGCGGCTGCTGCTGCAGGCTCGGCGGCGGCAGCTGCTGCAGGTCGGCGGCGGCTGCTGCTGCAGGCTCGGCGGCGGCCGTTGATGCAGGATCGGCGGCGGCAGCTGCTGCAGGGTCGGCGGCGGCCGCTGCTGCAAGTCCGGCGGGGGGGAGCAGCGGGCGGGCCCCCTGAAGGCGCCGCGACGTGGGGAGCAGCGGGCGGGCCCCCTGAAGGCGCCGCGACGAGCAGGAGAGACGCCCCGCGGGTCCCGCACTGACGTCGCGACGAGCAGGGCGACACCACGCGGGTCCCGCACGGGCGTCGCGACGAGCAGGAGCAGCACCCAGGGGGCGCCGTGACGAGAAGGGGCGACGCCCCGCGGGTCCCGCACGGGCGTCGCGACGAGCAGGGCGACGCCGCGCGGGTCCCGCAGGGGCGTCGCGACGAGCAGGAGCAGCACCCAGGGGGGCGCCGCGACGAGAAGGGGCAACGCCCCGCGGGTCCCACAGGGGGCGCCGCGACGAGCAGCGGGGAGGGCAGCGCGCAGGCCCCCCCGAGGGCGCTTCGACGAACGGGAAAACCGCCGCGCGCCCCGAGCGCGCGGCGGGCAGAAAATGCAATGCCGCGCACCACGGGGCGCGCGGCGGATAGTACGACAGCGGAAGCATTTGGTGGGCCCGATGAACTAGGCGGCAGGATCTCGCCGGCTCTAGATACCATGTTAGAATACTAGGTAGTGGGGCCTAGGCTTAGTAGCCTAGGCCCACACTAGGAGGTAGGTGGGTGCGCTCTAGAACTAGGAGTTAGGGTTTACGAAGGAGAATTGGAATGAAGAATGATTGAGACTAGCAAGCAGCAGAACACACAAATAGCAAACCCTAAGGGGTTGTACTCACTATTGAGCACCCCACTGCAGGCTAGACAAATAACATTCTGACAGCTTGAGCCGTCGCCACACTTGGGAGGGCATCGAGCATGAAGAGTCCTCCCGTTTGGCGTGCCGTGCCGATGTGTACGCCATCCGCCGCGCTCAACGCCATCATGGTCCCTTCGATGTTCACACGCATCCCCTTGCGTGTGAGTTGAGAAACGGAGAGGAGGTTGGCGCCGAGCCCGGGAACCACCAAGACGTTCTTGATGGTGAGTGGACCGCCGTCCACCATGAGCCGCAAGTCGCCTTGTCCCGTGACGTCCAACGTGTCACGGTTGCCGAACATCACGCGCTTAACGGGAGCCTCCGTTGTCACGTTGTTGAGAAGCGTCGCACACGCCGTCATGTGTTGAGTAGCACCCGTATCGAGTATCCACGCGTCAACACCACCGACGCTCGTTCCACTTGCGACGAATACGAACTCCCGGTCGTTGTTGTCGCATGTCGCCACATGCGCACGCCGGTTGTCGTCGCTTGACGGCTTCCAATTTGCCGGCTTGACGGGACATTCGCGCCACCAATGTCCGGTCTTCTTGCAAAAACGACAAGCTCCGTCGCGCGTCCGAGCTCGATTGGCGTTGGCCGGTCCTCCTCGTGATGAGCTTGAGGCCACCGCGCTCCCGCTCGAGCTCCCGCGGTTGTTGCCGTCGTTGCGCCGCTTGAAGTGACTCGTCCCTTTCGCCTTCGCATCGCGAGAGAAGTGTGCCGCGCCAATTGCATCGCCATGCAATTTCGTGCGCCTCGCCTCTTCGTTGATGAGGCGTGCCACCACTTGCTCCTTCTTCCACGTGTCTTGCGTCCCATCCAACATCGTGATCACGGTTGACCACGCTTCACCGAGGCCCGCGAGGAGCGTCATGATCCAATCGTTGTCCTCCACGCTCGCGTCGAGTTCCACCAAGCGCTCGCCAAGCTCCTCCACGCGGTTGACGTACGCGCGCATTGACTCGCCGTCCCTCATCCGCACCGTGAAGAAGTCGAGGCGCGCTTGAAGCTTGCTATGAAGCGACTTGGAGACGTGCTCTCCTTCGAGTCGCTTCCACGCTTCACGAGTCGCGCCGTCACGGTCGATGCACGGACTCACAATCGGGACGAGTTGGAGGCTTAGCTTGGAGACAAGAAAGGCAAACGCCTTTTTGTCCTTACACACCCACGCTTCCTTCTCCGCGGTTGAAGCGTCCGACGTGGGCTTCGATGCCGACCCATCGAAGAAGCCCCACAAGTCGCGCTCCATCATATACACCTTGAGCTTGAAACGCCACGAGGAGAAATGCTCCCCGTTGAAAATCGGCACCGCGCTCAAGTCGACAACGTGCGGCGTTGTCGAGAAGTCCGCCGGGAGGGAAGGGGTCGTTGGCGCATTCGTCGTCGACGAATTATCGGAGGAACCCATGGCGTAGCAACGATTGAGCGAGCACTCCTAACCTAGCTCTCATACCATGAAAGAATCCGCCTCTGTTTAGCTAGCGCCACAGAATTAACTTGGCGAGCTAGAGGCAGAGCCTAGGATCGATACGACGGGCTCGGAGCAACGAAGCAGTAGCACTTTGAATCACTGAAAACGCCCGAGAATTGAGAGAGAACTTGCTTATAATATGGAGATGGGTACACAAGTCTTGGAAGGCATTAAACTCTCTGTTTCCTCTCTGGAATTTATATCTAAAACATGCAATCTCAATTGTAACATCGAACCGCGCGCGACTCGCGGAAATTTGGACTTGGGACGTCGAATTTCCGCGACCTCCGCGCTCACATGTTCGGACCTTGCCGAGTTCATTTCAACACACCAAATGCGTGTGTTACACGAAGTGGTAGCGAGTGTAGCGAATGGTTCAAAACCTTCGCTAGAACTCTCGCTATTTTCGTGAGAGCTTGTGGGGCTGCCAAGTGTAGCCCCCACAAAGTTTCGGACCCAACCGGGTGAACTTTGGTTGCGTGGCGACGCGGACAATCCGCCGTCACCCCAACCTTCCGTGAAAACACCCCCCCTTGGTCCGAGTCAAGGGGGGTCTTAGCGTGGGGGGCAATCCCGTCCCCCACACTTCCAACATAATGCTATCTCTGGGTGGAGAAGCGTGGTTCGCATGCGACGAGAGAGAGTAGGCAGACTGGTGAAAACAATTGCCAACATAGCTTGGGGGCATCATGAGGAGTGTGGTTTTGTTTGTCGGGTCATAGGGGCAAAGCAGTTCTCTGAATTATCGAGGGGTGGCCAAGTTGCTGGGAGCTGGCAGGCGTGATTGTTGCTGGGGACTGAGGGAAAAATGGGTGGCTGTTCGGGGGCACCGGGTGGCTACGATTGAGGCAAAGGAAAACAAGGAAAGCACCCAAAGCAAGCAAAACAAGGGGCTTGGTTGAGAACAACTTACCTTAAGTCGGGAGGGTCCGAGGGAGCGAAACCTGCATAATCTGCGGTTGGTGTGACTCTTACGCGACTTCAGGGGGAGCAAGGTAAGTTCGGGGTGGTCCCGGCCATTACGGCCAGAATGATGTGTTTGCGACATAGTCGGGGTGGTTGTGGTTGTAGATTTGGAAGAGAGACGAACCACCGTACTCATTCAACTAGTATTCTCCATATTAAGTTGTTTTTTGGGTGGAATATACCTTCGGGGCAGGTTTTCCTTTCCTGGTATCAAGCCCCTCCAGGGAGGTCTGACACAAATCTTAAAATTTGCCTCATGCCGGTCCATTCCACTAGTATCAAGCAGCCTGGCCTAAAGACGTGCAAAATTCAAACGACCAAACCAATTTTCCGCCCTTTGCGTGTTTCTAGCGATCGCGAAAAGGTGTAACGCGTAAGCGATTCCCCCCACAAATTTCGCCAGCACATAGGGTATTTGCCACAAGCCACCCCCATCTTTGATAGCGATTTTTAAAATCCCTTTTACTCATTCGAACGGGGTCTGGATACATGAGCATCGGAAACTAGAGTGTGGTGTTTGACAAAGCAGCGAGTTTAGCCGAACACGAAGACTTTTCCATTTTATGAGGATAGGTCTGGGTATTTCCCAAAATGCAGTGCGTCCAATTTCTATGCGGAAATTATTATTGCGTTTTAGTCAAACCGGGGTGACTACTCTGTGGGCGTAACCCTAAATACATCGTAATCGCTAGAACCGCCCAAATGGTCGACCATTTTGTTTGGTCGTTAGAATTTTACACGTCCTAAAAGAACGCCCTAATCTGGGCCATAGGGCTGTTTTTATTAGACTGGATACTCTTATTAGTCTAAGAATCCAGAAGGGTCACCCATTAGAGTTATTGTTCTAGGAGCCTTGATTGGTTGTATATAGCCTTGGACCTGTGTGTTATAGATTCCTGACACTACAGACGATACATGTGGTCCCTGAATGAGAATCGATAAAAGTTTCTTGGAAGTTTTCTGTAAGTACCCCCCATGTGTTTAATGATGAACTTCCTTGCCCCCATGTGATGAGGGCTGCATTTATGGAAATGTGACGTAATAACGACATGGGAACTCGCTGTGTTGTATGGCATTGATATACACGCCGCGGATACATTGTAAACGCAGTATAAAATTATTATTTGTGCTATAACCGTACCGTGCAATGCACAAGTGTTGGAAGCTATTGCTTGCAGTCATCAATCAATAACTCCCTATACTTTAGACCGAATTCATTGACGACTCGACGCGGGTTTTCCATTTGGCCCCATCTTCTTCAACGCTTTCTTGGACCCCAACAGCCGCAACTAATCTTGTCATTTGTTCATTTCGTCTGACTCTCATGTTCCTACACTCTCAGCTAAGGCACCAGGCCGACGACGATTCTCCACAGGGTGGCTCAGGTGAGCCACCCTTACCTCATCAACCTATAGAGAAACCACTGCTGGAGAGAGGTAAGGGTGCAGCGCACGGTCTAAGAAAATCCAACTCGAAGCATCGGATTCCGGCAATTACAGACTGAGTGAGGGGGAACATATAGTTGTTTACTTACATTTTTCCAAGCCGTCGTGTTTTGATTGGGTTTTTCACCCTAATGACCATGAAAATGTGCATGTATGTCCCTATTCGAGGTTCTCATTAAATCATCTCCACTTTGCCATGATGGATGCCTCCAAACTGGCTAGAGTAGATACGGACGGTGCTTCACTCATGATGGGTTTGGTGGCGTGGATGCGTGAGCGCGTCTTGTAACTAGTGTCCTATTATACCATTGTCACAGATGAATTTGTAGCTGCTTATGCTTTCGACTTTTTTATGTATACGCACAACTAATTTCTCCTATGCGATCCATAGGGAAGTTCTCGCCGTGAAAGACGTTGCGATAGTGATTCCAGACATTAACACGGTAGATAAGGTCGTGTGCACGCTGGGGACGGAACTTGAGCGTTTGTGCATTTGAAGTCAACGGTTCAAGTGTATGCAACGAGTCATTTACAACGCCAACTTGGAAGTACAAAGCGTTCACTGGCTATCAAGAGAAGATGCAGTGTGTCAAATGTGCAAGGTCCTCAGTGTGGCAATCGTTCTGGTGTACGAGGATACCACAAGGCTTACGATATTGTGACGAGCTAGAAGTTCTAGTTCCGCATGTTTTCCATCGCCGACATCCTCATCGGCATGAACGACCTCAACCGGTATTTCCAGAAGCGTGATATAAGCTGATTTTGGAACAGCGGCTCACTCCGTTCAGTTTTAAATACAATTTTCTTAACGTATATTTTGTTTGTATTTGTGGTGGCAAGTGGATGTGACAGAGATCACCAAGCCATCGGTCAGGAAACAGCGGATTTGCAGAACTGCTACTTGGAGAAGAAGGGGCAGTTCGATGGTGGAGGCAATGTCAAAATAGGAGCAGGGATGAATCAACTATGAGACTGTTGGGTACATATAGAAACCATAAAGGGGTTGTACCCCATTTTGGCTACCCCACTACAGCCTACATATTATACTACAGCATATATAGTTTGACACACCCCTATAGGCAAAGTGGGGGAGAACAAGGGGTCACAAGACCAGTCAAGAAAAGCAAAGCAAGCTCAGGGTGGATCACAACGTCACCACACACTCCAAGCACAAACAAAGGGCCACAAGGCCAGTTCACATGCAGAGGTATATATGCAACAACAACAATACAGTGATCACTACCTATCAAAAGTAAGCATACAGGTATATATATGTAGATCACAATACAAGCAAAGTCTACAGGAAGTGAGAAAACGTAGGCACTAGGCCTAGGGCAGTGCAGAAGCGCTGATGATCACCAGCCGGAAGGGCCTTGGTGAACACATCAGCTGTGTTGGCCCGGGTGGGCACGTGAGCGACACGAAGCTGACCACGCTGCTGCAACTCTCGAGCAAGAAAGTAACGCAGAGCGATGTGCTTCGTTCTGTGCTCCAGTCTGTGCTCCTAACACAAGGCAATGGCAGCCTTGTTGTCGACGTACAGAACTGGAGGAGAACGAGGCCGTAGGTGAGCCAACGTAACTCCTGTGCAGCCATGGCTGTGGCGTAGATCTCAGCCTCACAACTAGAGCTGAGAATAGAAGATGATCGTGTAGACCGCCAATAAACAGAGCCGGAGCCAAGGCTGAAGGTGTAACCCTGTGACGATCGCTGCGTAGCCAGGTCGTCAACCCAAGAAGCGTCTGAGTGCCCAGTGAGGACAACTAGTCTCCGTCCTCCAAGCACGAGCCCCATGCTCGATGTACTGCACAAGTAGCGCAACACCCTCTTAGCAGCCTCCATGTGCACCTTTCGGTGTCTACCAGGAGCCACGTAGCATGCCAGAAGGCCAAGAGGGTACGCAAGGTCAGGTCGAGTGCAGGTCATCAGGTACATGAGGCAGCCCACTAGCTCTGGGTACGGACCACTCGGCTCTACGGACTCGTTCGAAGGTGGAGCTGAGAGCGAGTGACATGTAGCCAGAGGAGTGGACTGTGGCGAGGACCAGGTGAAGCCGAAGCGCTGAAGGATCTGCTGCACCATGTGTGATTGAGTCAGTGTGATGGTGCGGCGTGCTCTGTCCCGGGTGATCTGCAAGCCAAGGTAACTGTGCAGCTCACCCAGGTCTGTGCACGTGTGTCTCTTCTGCAGCTCCGACTTCACCAGGGCAAGAGCCTCAGTGTCAGCAGTGGCAAAGACCAAGCCGTCGACGTACACGAGGATGTAGAAAGGCGGCAGCGAAGTGTCGGTGCGTAGAAACAGCGACGGGTCAGCTGTCGAAGGCGCAAACCCAAGAGCCGCACGTGTCGTCCTCAGTGTGTCGTGCCACTCACGAGGCGCCTGACGGAGACCGTAGACTGGCCAGCGGAGGCTCCACTGGGTACCAGGAGGGAACGACCCAGTGAAGCCAGGAGGGCGGCGCAGCCAGATCTCCTTGTGCAGACTGCCCTGTAAGAAGGCTGTGCTGAAGTCCAGAGAGTGAAGCTCGTAGTCACGCTGAGCGGCAACGTGCAGCAGTACCCGAAGAGTGGTCATCTTCGGGGTGGGGGAGAAGGTCTGGAAGAAGTCAATTCCCTCCCGCTGACTGAAGCCTCTAGCAACGTAACGAGCCTTGAAGACAGGGGGAGAACCCGGCGGCCGCTTCACCCTGAAAATCCACATCCCATCGACGATGTTCGCCCCAGGAGGGGGAATTTCATCGACGTAAGTGCCTGTGGACTTCCAGGATGCCATCTCTGCGTCCATGGCAGTCTGCCACTGAGAGGAGTACTCACCCGCAATCGCCTCAGCGTAAGAGCGCGGGGTCGGAATGTCTGGTGCATCCGGGTCTCCCTCAGGGGCAAGCAGCATGGCCACGAGATGAGGTACAGCAGCCGCAAGACACTCAAAGTCCTCGTGCCTGTCCTCAAGGACGTCCGTGCCAAGAGTACACTCACCCTTTGAAAAACAGTCGCGGCTGTGTCGTGCCACCAGCACAAGTCGCTCCAGCACCTCCAGCAGCTCCAGAACCTCCAGCTCCAGCGCCTCCAGCGCCAGCACCTCCAGCAGCTCCAGAACCTCTAGCGCCAGCACCTCCAGTACCAGCGCCACCAGCAGCAGCACCCCCAGAACCGGCACCTCCAGCCCCAGGGTCTCCAGCTCCAGTGCCTCCAGCAGCAGCACCCCCAGAACCGGCACCTCCAGCTCCTTGGTCTCCACCTCCAAGTGCGACATCACCAGCTCCAGGGCCTCCAGCTCCAGTGCCTCCAGCAGCAGCACCCCCAGAACCGGCACCTCCAGCTCCAGGTTCTTCAACCCCAGGGTCGACAGCAGCACCTCCAGGTCCAGCAGTACCTCCAGCCCCAGCAGCTCCAGTACCTCCAGTACGAGCACCTCCGGGACCAGCGGCTCCAGTAACTCCAGTAGACAAAGTACCGCCAGGCTCTGCACGCTCAGACTCGGCGCCCTCAGCTCCAGTGACGTCAGTAGAAGCGCCTCCAGTAGCAGAGTCACCAGCTCCAGGGCCGCCAACGCCAGCGCCTCCCGTAGCAGGGGCCCCAGCCCCAGCAGCGCGACCCTGACGGCTAACGTACCACTCACGCAGCTGCTGTGTGGAGATAGGTACACGCCGACGAGAGTGCTGCGGCGAGGCACCAGCGGAGCGACTACGTAGGCGGCCGCTCCAAGGGGACTTCTCACCAGCCGCCTCAGTACCCCCAGGCGCAGCACCCCCAGACTCAGCACCCCCAGGCTCAGCACCCCCAAGCTCAGCACCCCCAGGCTCAGCACCTCCAGGCTCCGCACCCCCAGGCTCAGCACCCCCAGGCTCCTCACGCTCAGGCTCAGCACCTCCAGGCTCTACACCCTCAAGCTCCGCACCCTCAGGCTCCGCACCCCCAGGCTCAGCACCCCTAGAGACAGCACCCCGAGCAGGACCACCCCCAGCAGGACCTGAGTAAAATGCAGCTTTTGTACTTCAGAAATTCCTAAAGCAACTATAAGCACTTGAAGCACCGGCTATGATTTTCTACCATTAACCCTTAAGCTTCAAAGTAGGACTGCGTTCAAGATTGAGCAATCAGAGTTACGTTTCTCTGGACTGCGTTTCAAGGAGGTTTCTTTTTCCAGGAAATGAGGGAGGCCAGATTCAGACATGTAACCACTACTATCCACGCAATGAATGTATATGGAACCAAATATGGGCCAGTTTCGATTGAAGTTAGAGCATGGCATCCAATCAATCGTTCTGAAGCGAGGATGACGGCGGCTTCCATTTGGCCTACGCCCGTCGAGCCGACCGTTGGCTTGTCTTGAAGGCTCGAAAAATAAGGGTGTGTAAGATCCCCGTGCACACGTTTTGGCTGAATTTTGTCGACCATTTTGGTCGACAAAGCTTTCGCGAAGGTCGACAGATTAGTCGTCACCAGGTCGACAAATTTTCGGCCAACTCAGTGTGGCCTCCAAATCTGACACGGTTTTGCTGGCCGCTGTAACAGAGGTGGAAGATTTCGGTTTGTCCTTTTTTACGACTTGGTGCGACGATGTCGCACACATGAATACGATGTCGCAATTTCACTGTAGCAGCGTATGCGACTTCGTTTCTCACTGTAGACAGCTGCTGTCGACAGCATGGCCGATTTGAAGTCGACCACGCGTCGGAAAAGAGTCGACTAGTTTTCCGGCCATCAAATCACAAATTTGATGGTTGAAATTGACGAGATTCGCAAACCGATCACGAAATGGTTACTTTCGCTACGGCCACCTAATTTTGATGGCCGATTCTGTGTGCACGGGGATCTTACACGCCCTAAGCGTGTACAGAAGCACTCGTTAGTAGAACCACAATTTTCCTCTCGTGCCGCCCACAGCTATGCACCCTTCCACCACCATCACCCGTCCCTCATCCCATCTTTGCTCAACATCTGTCCGTACTTACAGCATGCCACCATGCCCATGCCTCCCAAGCATCACCCAAACCAAACCAGAGCACGCCCTCTTGACCCCATCCTTCATCTCAACCTACTCCAATCGCCGCTTCATCCTACTCCACTAGCCGCTCTCCCACCAGATAAGGTCGTGGCGTGGTTCGTCTCGCCATCAGCTCATCCTCGTTTGGTCAGCGGCTCCTGCCACCATCATAGCAACTCCGCAGTGTGCAAGCAGCGCGAGCAAGTTCCCGCCTCTTGCCCTGCAATTGTCTGCCGTGCCTGGGGTCTTTAAGTCACCTACCGCAACCGCATCCCTGCAGCCGGTAGTCGGTAGGCGGTCGGAGCCTGCCGATTGGCGATTCGATTTTTGACAACGGGAATTGGCGATCGCGATAGACGCTAGGCGCTAGACGATTCGCGATACGCGATAGGCGGTAGGAGAGCAGGCGAGTAGGCGGGAGGCGAGTGGTGATCGGCGGGGGGCGGGGCGATGGAGGAGGAGGAGCAGCTGCACTGTCTGGGCACGCGGTGCTTCCAGTCGCCGCACGACACATACCGCCTGCCCACCTACTACGAAGTGCCGCTCATGCGCGGCGAGAAGGCGCCTGGCCGGGTGCGTGTGCCTCCAGCCCTCGTTTCGCGCCGCGTTCCCGCGGGTTTAACCGCGCGCCGCGTGGGCCTCGTCCCGCTGTCGCCGCGCGCCGTGCTGCGGGCCGCCACGATCGTCAAGTGAGCGCCGTGCGCGCGTAATCGTCGGGCGGCGCGCAGGTGGCGGTCTACCTCGTCGCGCCTACGCTCGCCTCTGCGGACGCAATTGGCCAACCGCCGTCGCAATTGGACTTACCTTCCTCGATCGATCGTGGAAATACTCGCTCCCTCACTCTCGCCTTCCCCTTCTCCTTCCCTTTCTCTCGCCCGCTCTCGTCAATCCTCTTTCGTCTGACCCTCCCCCTTCTCCCCTCCCCCTCTCCTTCTCCCTCCCTCCCCTCCGCGCCTTTCCCCGCCCGCCTTTCTTCCCCCCCTCCCCGCGCGTCTGTGCGGTGTGCGCGCAGGACTACCGGTGGATGGTGGGGGTGCGGCTGAAGAACGAGACGGGCGCGCGGCCGAAGAGGCACGTTCGCCTCGCCGCCTACCGCGCAGTTGCCCTGCCGCAGTGCCTCGGCCTCGGTACGCCCTCCGCTCTCCCCCCGTCTGCCGTCGCCCATCTGCCCGCCCGTTTTCTTTCGTCAGCATGCGCCAATTCCCCACCCTCCCTCCACGCGCTTTCCCCCTCATGCCCCGTGCGCGCTCCGTTCCCCGTTGCGCCGTGTTTGTTCCGCGGATTCCGCCACCTGATTCCGCCTTCCCGCGTCTTCCCCCTGCGCAGGCGACGACGGCAGGTGGAAGTGGCAGCACATCCCCCTGGCGCTACTCGCGGGCTTCAAGCTCACCGTCTCCGCCCTCCCCGCCGCCGCCACCGCCGCTGCCACCGGCAGCAACACTGGCGGGGCAAGCACGCAGGGGAAGGGGGGGGTGGGGGAAGCAGTGGGTGCGCGCGCGGGCGAGGAGAGTGGCCCTGGCACGGTGTGGTCGGCATCAGTGAGGCCGCATGTGCGCCTGCAAGTGCTGACGCCGCTGCTGGGCAAGATAGGTGAGGGACGCTGGGTGTGCAGCGCAGGCGCGGGCATGTCATGTTGCGCTGGATTCCTCTCCACTGCACTGCTGCCCCTCAGCCACCAGAACGGTTTTTCTTAGTTCTTCCCTAGCCTTCACGTTGAGCTTTTAATTCTTTCGTCCCGTATTCCTTGTTCCTTATTCCTTAATCCTTATTCCTTGTCCTCCCCACCTGTGTGCATCGTGGTCCCATGTGTGTGTGTGTGTGTGCGCGCGCGCCATGCCATGGAGCAGCACTGAAGCCGTCGCTGGACGTGTTGCCGCGTCCAGCGCTCTGCATCAAGCGCTCCTTCAACGTCGGCACCGCCAAGCTCTCGCTGCGCGCCAAGCTGCAGGTGCTCTCCCATGCCCTCCCATGCTCTCCCATGCTCTCCCATGCCCTCCCATGCCCTCCCATGCCCTCCCATGCCCTCCCATGCCCTCCCATGCCCTCCCATGCCCTCCCATGCCCTCCCATGCCCTCCCATGCCCTCCCATGCCCTCCCATGCCCTCCCATGCCCTCCCATGCCCTCCCATGCCCTCCCATGCCCTCCCATGCCCTCCCATGCCCTCCCATGCCCTCCCATGCCCTCCCATGCCCTCCCATGCCCTCCCATGCCCTCCCATGCCCTCCCATGCTCTCCCGTGCTCTCCCGTGCTCTCCCATGCCCTCCCATGCTCTCCCATGCTCTCCCATGCCCTCCCATGCCCTCCCATGCCCTCCCATGCCCTCCCATGCCCTCCCATGCCCTCCCATGCCCTCCCATGCCCTCCCATGCCCTCCCATGCCCTCCCATGCCCTCCCATGCCCTCCCATGCCCTCCCATGCCCTCCCATGCCCTCCCATGCCCTCCCATGCCCTCCCATGCCCTCCCATGCCCTCCCATGCCCTCCCATGCCCTCCCATGCCCTCCCATGCCCTCCCATGCCCTCCCATGCCCTCCCATGCCACAGCCACACTGGTGCGACCTGTCGTGGCTGGCACGGAGGGGGAACCATCGCACACTGCAAAGCCCGGGCCAGCTCATCATGTGCTCGCTCGCTTTGCACCTTGCACTTGTCGCCGCCCTGCCATGTTGCCATCTGCCCCATACTCGTGTCTTCTCCTCTGCCCAATGTTGCGTGTTGGTGTGTGTGTGTGTGTGTGTGTGTGTGTGTGTGTGTGTGTGTGTGTGTGTGTGTGTGTGTGTGTGTGTGTGTGTGTGTGTGTGTGTGTGTGTGTGTGTGTGTGTGTGTGCATGCGTGCGTGCGTGCGTGCGTGCGTGCGTGCGTGCGTGCGTGCGTGCGTGCGTGCGTGCGTGTGTTTGCGTGCATGGCATCAGGCGGAGGGCGATGCATGGCGCATGCGCCTGCCCTCATGGACCCTGCAGCTGGACTGGCGCCCGGCTGACTCGGTCAGACTAACCACACTCGTTGCCTGCACACCACACCACACCACACCACACCACACCACCCTCCCTCCCCCCTTTTTCCCCTCCACGTTCTTCTCTGCTTTCTTCTCACTGCTGCTTCGCATATGCAGTTTACTTGTAATCTAGCTCTGTATATTCCCTCGCGCCCTCCCTGATCCCTCTCCCTATCCTCTCACCTCTCCCCTCTTTCCTCTCTTCTCTCCCCTCTCCCCTCTCCGCTCTCACCTCTCCGCTCTCCGCTCTCGCCACTGCATGGGAGCAGGTGAGGGTGCAGAGGGAGGAGCAGCAGGAGGACGCCATAACGCTCAAGTACACCAAGGGCTTTAAGATCTCACGCGACTGCAGAGGGGTCAGCCGCTCTCCCGCTCCTTCATTCCTCCCTGCCCTCCCATTGCATTGCAATGGCATCTCCATTCTTGTTCCTTTTCACCCTCACTCTATCCTCACCGGCAGCTCTCTCATTCCTCTCTTTACCCTCTCCTTCTCCTCCTATACCGCCCTCGCCACCCTTCCCTGCGACCCCACGTGCCCCAACCCCACGTGCCCCAACCGCCATGTGCAGGTGGTATCAGGGCTGATGGAGCTGCCGTGCTGCATCTCCTCGTCGCATGCAGCGCCGCTCTTCTCCCTCTTCCCGCGCAAGTTCGGCCTTGAGTCACTGCGCCTCACACAAGTCATTGGCACCAGGGTACGAGTAGATGCCAGGGTACGAGTAGATGCCAGGGTACGAGGGTCCCTGCTATGCCATGCACGCCATCGCACCATGTTATGTGGTTCCTTTCACCCTTCCCCCCCACAACCCAATCCTCCTTCCCCCGTGCTTTCTTCCCCCGACCCCTTTCCCACCCCACCTTCCTTCCCACCACGTTTTCCCCCACCAACCCTTCTTCCCCCTACGCTTTCTCCCACCCTCCCTTTCCCCCCCACTCTTTCTCTCCCCATCCCTTCTTCCCCCGACCATTACTCACCCCCACACTTTCTCCTCTCCACCCCCCCAAATCTTCTTACCCCCACCTTTCCCCCCCTCACTCTTTCCCTTCCCCCCGCCAGGCTCCGCGGGACCCGCCGCTGTCAACGCGGAGGTACATGCGGGCGGCGCAGCACATAGGGCGCAGCGACGTCATCTCGGTGGTGCCGGGCCACTGGATCGACCCCGGCTTTGAGCCCGGCGCTCCGGGCGAGCGCGAATTCAACCTGGAGGTTCGTGCGTGCGTGCTGGTGGGTACATGGGCAAACGAGTCGCATAGACATTTGATTCGTTTCTTAACACTATCTTTTATTTTTCCTGTACTTCAAGTGAGTCAAGTAACATAAAATAAAGAAGGTTGATAGTTAATCAATGCGAGCATGAAGTGTCTTGTGGATGGAATGTTTTTGGAGTGTGGGGAGGGAAGGTCAACATTGAGAGTGGGTGTGCTTGGGGCCGGTCTAAGAAGAGCATTGGTTCCTGGTTTTGGGGGTTGGGGTTTTTTATTTTATGCTGTTGAATTGACTTCACCGGAGGAGAGCATGGTGCGGTGGGAGGAGAGGAGACAGGCATCCCTTGGTGTGTTTCATGACCTGATGGTTTCACTCCACTCAACTCATGCTGGCACGATTGCATCATTGCATGGTGGCATGGTGGCATGGTGGCATGGTGGCAGATGCATTGGAGAGGCAGTTGAGGAGCACGGGGTGGGATGTGTTGCGACCGGACAGGGATGCGCCCAATCTGCAGTGGGAGCAGTACCTCAACTGGGTCTCCAAGCAGGTATACCTCCCACCACCTGCCTCCACCCTCATTCCCTTCGCGCACTGCGAAGCATTCTCTATGCCACCCTGTGCTGCTGCTCTTGATCTCTCACACCGTTGATTCCTTGGCCTTTTCCTCTGCCATCTTGGGAAGCTGGCCTCTTTGTGTGTTATGCATTGATTGCTGCACGTGTTGCTGCACGTGTTGCTGCACGTGGTGCTGCATATGTGTGTGCATGAGCAGACGATGAGGGGAGTGCCGGTGATAGAGATTCACGGGCAGGGCTCCAATGCGGACTACAGGGGCTTTGTGCTGGGCGTCATAGGTGACAAGGACACGCCTCTCAACAAGGTACTGCTCCCTCCCTCCCACCCAACCACCGCTGCTGCACTAACACGTCCCCTTTCGCAACTGCCCGTCACATCACTACATGCTTATCACCGTCAGTCTGTGCTGCTGCTCGCCCCGCCCCCTCGTCCCTTGGCCCCGCCACACATGATTGCTCTTTCTCCTGAGCGCAGGAGCTGGCGCGCAAGTTTGGGCACTTTGCGATGGACTGGCGGGAGCTGGCAGTGCCGAGGCGGGGAGGCACCATCGTCGAGAGCTTCAACTCCGATGAGGTTCGCCTGCTGCTCTTTCTGCTGCCTCCGCTACCGCTGCTGCTTGCTGTTGCTGCCGCGCTTGCATGCCTGCACCCAACCCTGCCTGGAATGTGCCTGTTTGCAAGCCACATCATCTCCGGCATCACCTACGAATTACTGCAATCCCATGCTCCACTTTCTTTTCTGCTTCTTGAACCCTTCCCTCGTATCCTCTCCTCGAAATCCTTCTCCCCCCCTTGTCGTCTCCGCTGGTACCAGGTGCTACAAATGGCCCCGTGGCACCGGCAGTGGGCAGTGAGCCGCCTAGCCAACCGCATTGCGACATGTGTGGAGCGCGCCAGTGCGCCCAACAGGATGGCACGTGGCGTGGACGTGCCGGCATCGCTCCTCAGCGACACAGCCTATGACCGTGACCTCATTCCGGAGCCTGGTAGCCCTGTCGCCACACCCCGCTCCCCCTATGGCTCCAGCAGCAGCAGCAGCAGCGGCAGCAGCAGTGGGCGGTGCAGGTGGGCATCATTACAGTCACAGCAGGCTGTGGGCTGTGCCGGATATGGGGGATAGTATGGAGCGGCGGACACAGCAGCTTAGCAGCGGAGTAGAGAAGAAGCAGCAGGCGCCGCTGTGGAGGGGTATTGTGTGGCCGTGGCAGCGCAAGGTGCAGCAGCGGGAAGGGGGAAAGAGATTTAGCAGGAGTGATGGCCGATAATCTTGCAACGAGGCCCGTATCAAGCAAGGACGTGGTCGTGGTGTGGCATGTGATGTATGTTACATGGTATCCACGTAGTTGTGATAGTGTATGTGTTCAATAAAAGCTACATCTGCTGTCAACGCCCTTTTCATATCTGTAGCTGTGTTCTTGTACCAACACACGTACACAAGAGTTGCACTTGTCAGCATACCTTGGTTTGCAGCTGAAGGTCACGGCACGAACAACTTGAAGCGTAATAGTTGTGTGCAATGCAATTCAACAGATGAGCGAGGGCTTCCTTGTTGAAGCAAAATGACTACCTGTACTGTACGTATGGCCCCGGATATAAAGGAAGGCCAGGCCTCTGTGTGCTTTAGAGCGTATTCCTACGGGGCAACCTCGTATCAAGAATGAAATTGACTCATGTTTACGTTGTAAATGTCAAACAATACCTGTTCTATTACAATGTGTAGGCTGTAGTGGGGTAGCCAATATGGGGTACAACCCTTTTAGGGTTTCTATTTAACCCAACTCTCTCATAGTTCATTCATTCTAGCTTCTCATTTCTGCCATGGTTTCAGAGCAGTAGGTCTGTAGGACCGTATTTTTTTTGTTCGGGCCCACCATTCCGACTGCGGCTACCGTGACACCCCACTGCCCTACCCCGCGTCGCGCTGCCCCGTGCACGCCACCTGCGCGCTGCCCCTGCTGGCCGCGCGCCACTGTTGCAGCGCGCGTTTTTTCTAGCGCGCTGCCCCACCTGCGCCCGCGCGTTGCCCCGCCGGCTGCCCGTAGCCCCGCGCGTCGCCTACCCCTGCTGCGGCTACCTGATATGCCCCGCGCGCCACCCGTCGCGCTGCCCCGCAGCCCCGTGCGCCACCCGCCCTGCTGCCGCAGCCGCCCGCTACGCCCTGTCAGAATGTTATCTGTGTCTAGCCTGCAGTGGGGTACTCTATAGCGAGTACAGCCCAATTAGGGTTTCCTATATGTACTCAACTGCCTGCTAGTGCAAACCCCTCTTTCCTGTTCTAAGCTTTCGCCTGCTGTTTCTGACATGGTATCAGAGCAGGTCGACCCTCCTGGGTCGATCCTGTGGGTGGTCCCGCCCGATGCTTCCGCTGCTGTCCTGCCTATCGCATGCCCTAGGCGCGCGATGTTTCCTGCCTGCCGCGCGCGCAGGGCGCGCGGCGTTTTTTCTTCCCGCCGCGCGCTCGGGGCGCGCAGCAGTTTTCCGCACCGTCAACCCGCGCGTCGCCCCCCGTCGACTGTCGCGTCGCCCCCCGGGAGCCCGTCGCGTCGCCCCGCAGGCCTGCGCGTCGCCCCCGTTGCCCAGTTGCGGCGCCCTGGGGAGCCGCGCGCGGCCCCCGCTGCCCCGTCGCGACGCCATGGGGAGCCGCGCGCGGCCCCCCGCTGCCCCGTCGCGGCGCCCTGGGGAGCCGCGCGCGGCCCCCGCTGCCCCGTCGCGGCGCCCTGGGGAGCCGCGCGCCGTCGCCCCCGATGCTGCCCGCGCTCCTGCCCCGTACTCCCTGTGTTAGGGTTTCGGGGTGGCGAGTGTGGGGGTGGCGAGTATGGGGGTGACGGGTGTGTGCGCCGTCCCCTGCTCCTCCTCCTCCTCCGTCTCCGTCTGCTGCAGCTGCCGCTGAGGGGGGTGGATGTGTTGGAGCCGTCGGAGTGGTACGAGGGGGGTGGCGTGTGAGCGGTGCTAGGGGTACAGCAGGGAGTGTGTGAAAGGGGTGTGGGACAGCTGGGGGAGGTTGAGTGGAGGCAGCCGTCTTGTCGTCCGCAGCGCCTGTAGTTTGGGGCTCTGCGCCCGGTAGCCCAGAGAGCCTGCTGCGCCTGTCGCCCGTGGGTCCGTTGCTCCTGCCGCTCGTCTTAGCGCGGAGCCAGTTACTCCTGTAGTCCGGGGCTCTACGCCTGGTAGCCACAGTGTGCGCGCTCCTGTTGCCCGTGTGTCTGCAGCTTCAGCCATCGCCTCCCATCTTCTCGCCCCCACAGTTTCTCCTCCTCCTCACTTGCCCTCTGTGATAGCCTCTAGCTTTGCTTATCATTGTGAACTATTGCTCTGCCTGCTTATTGTGCTGATTACACCCCACTTTGGCTATGGGGGTGTGTCAGAATATTATTGTCTAGCCTGCAGTGGGGTACTCTATAGCGAGTACAGCCCAATTAGGGTTTCCTATATGTACTCAACTGCCTGCTAGTGCAAACCCCTATTTCCTGTTCTAAGCTTTCGCCTGCTGTTTCTGACACGCCCTACGCGAAGCCCGCTCTGCTGTCGCAGCCGCCCGTTACGCCCTGCGCGCAGCCCGGCCTGCTGCCCTGCCGGCCGCCTGCAGCCCCGCGTGCCGCCTGCCACAGCCGCGGCCGCCCGCTACGGCCAGCGCACCGCCCGCTCTGCTGCCCCGCCGGCCGCCTGCAGCCCCACGCGCCGCCTGACCCAGCCGCGCCCCCCCGCTACGCTCAGCGCGCCGCCCGCCCTGCAGCCCTGCACGCCGCCGCGGCCATCCGCTACGCCCAGCGCGCCGCCGCCCTGCTGCCCTGCCGGCCGCCTGCTGCTCCGCGCGCCGCCTGCCCTGCTGCCCCGTCGGCCGCCTGCTACCCCGCGCGCCGTCTGCCATTGCTTCGGCCGCCCGCTAGGCCCTGCGCGCCGCCTCTGCGCCTGCCTCTATTGCGGCCGCCCGCTTCAGCCCAGCGCGCCGCCCCTACTGCTGCTGCTTGCCTGCAATCACTCTGCTCTGCCAGTCCCGTGCTAGCAACTATGGCCACCCTTTGCGTTCTGTCGTTCGACACTGAGGGCCGCCCGATTGAGTTCGATACCTGGCTCGATGACTTGCTGCTGTTCCTGATAAGCGATAGGAAGGACAATGTCTCGCTCTTTGACCAAATGTCTGGTGCCTCAGTCGCTCCTCCTGCCACAGCTGAGCTTAGCGCCCGTTCCCAGTGGCAGACTCGTGACGCTGCTGCTCGCCTAGCCGTTCGCAACCACCTGCCGTTAGCCGAACGCGCTCACGCATTTTGGCGAGCACAAAACCTCTAAGGCCTTTTACGATGCTGTAGTTGCTCGATACTCCTCCCCTGCCACTGCTGCACTTAGCCGCCTCATGCTGCCCTACCTGTTTCCTGAGCTGTCCACCTTTGCCACAGTTGCCGATCTCATCACCCACCTTCGCACTAGTGACACTCGCCTTCGCGCCGCCCTCCCCAGAGAGTTCGCAGCTAAGAACCCGCCTCCGATGTACTGGACCCTCCACTTCATAGTGACTCGTCTCCCTGACTCTCTTCGCTCAGTCAGGGACCACTTTCTCGCTCGCTGTCCCACTGACCTCACTGTCGACCTCCTCGAGAAGGAGCACCTCCTTGCAGCAGAAAAGAGCATTGTCGCTGTAGGTGCTGCTCGTGGCGTTCCTCACACCCCCATCTTTGAGGGGTGCTCTCCCTCTCCCCTCGCCCCCTCCTTCGCTACTGCCGCTGCTTTTGACTTCCTTGGTGCTGAGTCTGTTGGTGCTGCTTCTGCTCCTAGTGGGAGGCGCCGCAGCGGCAAGGGCAAGGGAGCCAAGGGTAGCGGAGGTGGCACCGGGGGGGGGGGGGTGGTGGTGGAGGCGGTGGAGGAGGAGGAGGAGGCGGGGGGAGTGGTGGCGGGAGTGCTGGAGGGAGTGGTAGCGTCGGTAGCGGCGGTGGAGGCGGTGGCAGCGGAGGTGGCGGCGGCGGTGGCGGTCGGAGTGGAGGCGCTGGCGCTGGCCAGAGACAGCAGCAGCAGCAGCGTCCCCGTGAGGCTCTTACACCCCAGCAGCTTCGTGAGTGGCTTGCTCAGCGTGGGACGTTTGGGAGTAGTGGTTGCTGCCCGTATGTCATTCGCACAGGTGACCGCAAGGGTCAGACGTGCAACAAGTTTCACACCCAGCACCGCTGCTTCTCCCGCCTTGACGACGCCTGGCGTGAGGAGATGGGCGAGGAGGTTGAGCGCCCCCGCTGGCATGAGCTGCTTAGGGCTGGTGTAGACATCTTTGCTCTTGACTATGATGCTATCCTCACTGAACGAAATTATTGTCCACATGCTCATATTTTAAGACCTGAATGTGCATTAGTAGCTATTGTGTTTAAGCCTGCGGTCCTTAACATTTTTCTCGGATAGTCTATGCTTCGTCGGCTTTTCAATCGCCCTAACTATGTGCCGCTTGAGAGTGTCTCGAACGGTGGCGCCAGTGACACTGATGCCGTGTGTAGAAGCTATCGTTCCCGAGGCCGCCTCGGCGGATCTCGATTCACCTGAAACTATCGACCTTACGACTATCCGCGTGATTTGCTCTGGTAGCTTGCGCGGCTGACCAGGTTTCGCCGGGGACGGCACTAGCTCGTCGTACGTTTTCGGACTGAGGTGGCGAAGGAGCTCGTCATTGTCGGAAATTGAGCCGCTGGACTCCTCCTCCTTCCCCAATCTTCCTGGCCTCCCTCTGCACTCTCTTCACGTTAGCAGATTCCTCAGTTCCCTCTTCATGCCTTGAGTGGGTGCCCCTGCCTTTTCCACTTGAAAAGGTTCTAGCACCGTCCCTCGCTACTGAATCCCCCAACTCGGCTGACTGCCGGAAGAGCGGTGATGAAACCCCAAATAGCTTGCTAGGATTGGTCCTTCCACTTGGCGCAGGAAGAGTGATAGCGAAAAGATCTCTTTGCTTACAGAAGGAACATACAAGCAAGCAAATGCTACTGCTAGTGTTGCTTGCCTAAGTACTGCGGCTGGTTACCGTTGCGCTGCAACGGTTGCCTTAGATTCCGTCAGCCTGCCTCAGTTCCCGCTTTGGCGCTATTCGCCTCGGGTGTACGTCCATGTAATCCTACTCAATATAATCCTCTGTCATGCTTTTATATTGCTATTGCCTACGGACTATTATCCAATTAAATGCATGACAGCTGTCGGAAATTGAGCCGTTGGACTCCTCCTCCTTCCCCAATCTTCCTGGCCTCCCTCTGCACTCTCTTCACGTTAGCGGATTCCTCAGTTCCCTCTTCATGCCTTGAGTGGGTGCCCCTGCCTTTCCCACTTGCCCCCTCCTCGGCGTCTGCTCTGCCTGGTACCGCCGATGGACGTTTTGGCTAAAAGGCAGCTCCTTTACCTGCTTTCCCCCGCCTTCTGGGCCTGCCGTCGTTCGCTGGGGCCGGGCTCTCGCCACGTTCGTCTGATGGTCCCTCTTCTCTTGCCCCTTATCTCCCACCAGCACCACGACTCCCGAGTCCTTAACCTCTTTCACCCTCCACCTTTCCGTGCTGAGCCCAATGTCCAGCATGTCTTGCCTGGCCTTTTTGACATACACTTCTTCCCCTATCCCTAGCGGGGCACCCTTCTGCACCGCCTGTCTTTCCCTCCTCTTCTTGTAGCGCTGTGCGTCTCTGAGCTGGGCCACCTGCAGGTTCTCTAGCGCCGCTGGTAGCATCTCCCGCAGGTACCTTGCCCGTGCCTCGGCCAGCCCCACCCAGGCCTCGTCTGAACTCATGGTGACCACGTCAGTTAACACTCTAGGCGCGTCTATGGGCAGGATAGGCTCTCTACCCAGCAGCAGGTAGTAGGGAGAGAAGTCCTTTAGCGCCGCCTGCTTACTGAAACGGTACCCTGCGACCACCCAAGGGAGCCTCACGTCCCAGTCCCTCTTAAACTTTTCCCCGTAGGCTCTCAGCCCTTTCTTCACAGTCTGCACGAATCTCTCAGTGAGCCCGTCACTCTGCGGGTGGTACCGCGACGTCCGCCGGTGGGTGATACCGCTGGCTGTCAGTAAATTCTCGAATTCGCCCAGAAACTCCGTGCCCTGGTCAGTCAACACTTCTCCACAGGCCCCAAAGCGCGTCAGCACCTGGTCTTCGAATGCTTCCGCAATTCTGGCCGAGCTCTTGCTCGGCAACGCCCTCACCTCGACCCACTTACTGCCGTGCTCAATCATGATGAGGATGAACCGCTTTCCTCTCCTACTAAGCGGCATTTCTCCCGCCAAGTCTAGAGACCACCTGAACCCGATGCCTCTGATGGGTAGCGAGTGCAGCTCTTCCCTCCCTCTCTCTAGCTCGGCTTTATTCCTGCTGCATAGCTCGCAGGGGCCAACCCACGCTTTGATATCTCCCCTCATCCCTGCCCACCACCAGCCTGTCTCGATCAATTGGCTAGTACGCAGGCTCCCGTAGTGCCCCAGCTGCCGATGCACTTTGGCGATTATCCCTTCCCGCTCCTCTGGTCGCGGGACTAGCTTCCACCCTTCCTTCGTAGTCTTCTGTAGTTGGTCCTGGTACCACCGATAGTGCAGTCCCCGTGCTCTAGCCCTTTCACTCGCTGGTTCCGATTCCGAAGTCTTCCCTTGCACCCAGCGTAGAGTCTCTTCATCCTCCCAGATATCCTCCGCCCCTTTCTGCGCCTTCCTTTTGGCTCCTTCCCCGTCGATCTCTCTCGCCAATGCCACCAGGCACGCCTCTGGGCTCGAGGGAGGCGGGTTGCGAGAGAGCCCGTCTACATGCTGCAGGGTCTTCCCTGCCCGGTGTCGGATGGTGAACTCGTATTCTTGCAGCCTCATGGCCCATCGAGCATTCCTGCCCGTCAAGGCCTGGTTAGTCATCAGCCACGTGAGCGGCTGGTGATCAGTGACTAGCACAAACGGCCTCCCTTGTAAGTACACTCTGAAATGGGTAATGGCCCAGACCGCTGCGAGCCCCTCTCCTTCGTAGGAGCTGTAATTGGCTTCTGCAGGGTTGCAGCTCCGGCTCGCAAAGGCCACTACCATCTCCTGCCCGTCTCTCTCCTGACACAAAATCCCTCCCATGCCCGCGCTGCTCCAGTCAGTGTAAAGCACGAATGGGTCTTCCTTGCTGGGCAGGGTAAGGACAGTCCCGGTCTTTACAGCTTTGATGAGGGCCTTGAATGCCCCCTGCTCTTCCTCCCCCCACTGCCACGCTTGGTCTTCCCTCAGCAATCGGTTTAGCACGGATGAGGTGCGGCTGAAGTTGGGCACGAAATTCCGATAATAATTCAGAAACCCCAAGACCGCTCTCAACGTGCTTCGGTCCTTAGGGGCCGGGACCCGATCCAGCACTTCTACTTTCGCCTGCTGGATGCTCAGCTGCCCCCCTTGCACTTCAAAGCCTAGGTACTTGACCGTACTATTCCCGAAACTGCACTTCTTCGGATGGCAGGTCATTCCAGATGCTCGAATGGCGTCCAAGGTGTCGCTCACGTCCTTGACGTGCTGCTCCGCTGATGCGCTGAACACGACGACGTCGTCTATGTAACAGGCGGCAGCGGGCACATTTCTCAGCACCGAGTCCATCGCCCGCTGAAAGAGGGCGGGCGCGTTCTTCATGCCGAACGGCATGAACTTCCATTCGTAGAGCCCGTCCGGCCGGTGGAAAGCCGTCTTCTTCCGGTCCTCTTCTCTGATCGGGATTTAATTAAACCCCTGCCGGAGGTCCAGCGTACTAAACACTACCGCTCCGTGCAGCTGATCGAAGATCTCTTCGGCCGACTGGATGGGGTATCGATCGGCCACAGTCACCTTATTAAGCCCTCTATAGTCCCCGCACATTCTTCTTGCCGACACCTCTCCCGTGAGATCCTTTCGAGCGGCTACCACGGTGGCCGCCGCGTAGTCGCTGTCCGACGATTGGATGAGGCCAGCTGCTAACAGCTCCGCGCATTTCTCCCTGCAAATCTCCAAGTCTCCTGGGCTCATCCGTCGCTTCCTCTGGTATATGGGCACCTCCGTGTTCAGCTTCACCTGCATTTGGTGGGAGTTGCACTGTCCTAGTTCGTCTAAGGTGTAGGCGAACGTCTTCCTGTGCCCCTTCAGCACCTCCTGTAACGCCCGAGCCGTCTCTGCCCCCATTCCTGAGCCAATGGGCCACGGGTCCTCTGGTCTTCGCTCTTGGCTCTGCTTCTCAGCTGTACTGGTGCTCTCCCCATCTGGCGGCAGTATGCCGGGGTCTGATGACCCGTCCTCCGCTTCCATCGCCATGTAGGCCCATCCTTCCAGGATGCGAGCTTCCTGTTGTTCCTCGATGGCTCTCAGCTGGCGCTTCCGCTGCTCCGCTTCCTTGTCCTCATGGTACAGCTCGCTGACTTCTATGCCGCGCTGGAGCTCCTTCCGCTTCAGATGCATGCGGATGGTCTCCACGAGCCATGCCATGACGTTGAGGTCCATGGCTCTGCCTATCGCCGCCCTCCTCTGAGGCTCGGTCACTCGAGGATGCGCAGTCGCTCCCGGCATATGGCCCATGACCAGCTCCCGCTCCTCCGCCGTTGGTTGCTCCCACTTCTTCCCGAGGACATCATAGATCATCCCCGGCCCGGGCAGATCTCCCTCCATCACGAAGCCATAGGCGTCCACATACGACACGAGAGTCGGCAACGCCTGTCTCGGCTTCCCAGGCATGTTGCATTGGTACTGGGATAGGTGGTCAGGTGCGGTGACTGGCGCTGGCAGACGGTTGGGGCCTAGGATGTCACTGACTAACCTCGGTTCTGGCCGCTGCATCTGCGCCAGCGAGTGCCGTAAGCTTGCCTCCGAGATCCCGTTTTGCTAGTACCGTCTGGGCCGGTGCGCCCTGGAACCCAGTTGAGCCGCATCGACAGCTATCCCTCGGCCAACTGCAGCTTCGACTTCTGCGAACGCTCTTCGCACGTGCTCTCGCCGATCGTCCGTGAAGTCCACATTCTCCAGTATGTATAACACTTCCCCTTGCTTCGCTTGCACCATCTCCAATATCCGCTTCAAGTCTCTAAAGGAGGCTCCACGGATGTCTTCCATCCCCATCCCCTCGCCGGCCCGGGAATAACCCTGGACTTCCCAGCCCGCCACGATGACGTCGATTTGCCCCCACTTCTCTAGTTTCTCCTCCGTGATATCTCGCACGTCATCCACCACTTCTTCGTCCTCGGCGGGTAAGGCGGACTCCGCGAGCTGATCGGGGTATTCGGCCAGCAACAGCCTGGCGTGGTGCTAAGCCATCCGCCGCACTACCGGATCCCTCTCAACGTGGATCCACTTCCGCACCCTGCAACCCGCACGCAAAGCCGCTGCCAATCCCGTACCAATGCGTCCGTACAGCTCCATGATACACACCGCTCCTTCCAGGGTCCAGAGCCGAGTCACTCTCTCTTTCAGTGAAGTCGGCTCGCGCCCTTGCCTCCTCCGTTCCATCCTCCGCTCGTACTCCTCTGCATACCTCTCCCAACTCCAGTCGTCCAGCACCGGCCCCAGGTCGGACGCCCGCGCCCCATAGGCCTCCCGTGGCTCTTGCTTCACAAATTTCACCGGCAGGGTACCTACAGCGCTCGAGGCATCCCAGTACTGCACGCGATACAGCACTTTCTCCTGCCAGGTGCAAATGGTGGCGCCGACTCGGTAGAGCAGGTCCATACCGACTAGCGCGTCGTAATCCTCGGACTCGGACACACCGCACGTCACACGGATACAACATTCCGTGTCAGTCCCCGGGAGCAATACAATCTCGATGGGCCGTACCGTCCTCGGCATCCATTTCGGCTCCCCTCCTTCGGCCGTCATGAGTAAGATGCCCCTTTGCACGAGCCTCCCGGGCAGGTCCAGCTTCAGTTGACGCGCTAGTCCCTTCCCAATCAGCACGTGGTGCGCCCCGGTGTCTATAATAGCCTGTCCCACTGGCAACCCCCCCACCGTCAGGCTCCCTTTCTCTGCTATCAGTACGGACACCTGGCACACGAGTCTCTCGTTAGGATGACGTCTCAGTTTGGAAGTACTGCTTCCTTCGTGTACGTTGCCTCGCGGCTCCCGTACTCTGCTCGTGCGGCTTTCGGACGACTGGCTCCCACGGATCCGCAGGTCCAGATCTTCCCTCTCTCACGGGAACGCCATGAAGCCGCCGGCCCGCAGATACTCGCCCTCACTTTCTTCTTCCCCTTCGACTTCTTTATATGCTAACATGGCTCGGGCCTTCGGCTCCACTTTTGGCTTCGCCTCCAATTTCTGTTGGAGCCGCTTAATCTCTGCCTGTAACTCTTCCGTCCGGTAAGTCTCCTCGGAGCGACGCCGACTATAACACACTTTCTCCTTATGCCCTTTTCGCCCGCAGTTCCCGCATACGGGAAGTTTGGGGCAATCGCGCTTCAGATGGCCTGTCTCCCCGCATTCGTGGCACCGCCTAGCGTCCGCCCGTGGTGGTCCATCTGAAGACGCTTCCACCAAAGCAGCTGCGGCCCACGATGACTTCGTCTTGGGGCGAGCTTCGCTGTCTTCCATGTCCAACATCCGCTGCGCGTGTCCCGTTCGCTTCGCTAAGCCGTAGACCTCCTTCAAGGTAATATCCGCTCCCACGCTGTACACCGTATTACGCACCACAGCCCGTAGATCTTCCTCCAGGCCTCGAACGAACTTACGAACCAGTAGCCGTTCGTCCCGGCTCTCCAGGTCGTCTGCGAGCTCCCTCAGTCTGCAGTAGTAGGCGAGTAGTGATTCGTCTTTTCCCCGGCGGAACTTGCGGAACTCCTCTACCCTCGCTTTGGTTTGCCCTAGGAATTCCTTCTTCAACAGCTCGATGAAACGCGCCGTCGGATTCTCAATTTCTCCGCGTTCGAGTTCTTCGAGCACCTCCTTCCTCGTCATGCGGTAAAAGGTCTCCGCCTCGCCTGCTAACGTCACTACCATTCGCCTGAAGAACTCAGCCGGGTCCAGTCCGTCCCGCTCCCAGCAGTACTGCACCGTCTCCAGCTGCATCAGGTAGTTCTTCAGAGTGGGCCCCACGCCGGGGATTCCGGTAAACCTCTCGGCCACCTCCAGCTTCGGAAGAGCCCCCGCCTGCCACCTCTGGTCCACCATCCGGTCGGGGGGACCTCCTGCTGAGGGTGTCTCTGCCGCCTGACTCGCGATAATCTCTTGCGGCCGCGGCGTCCGAAACTCCCCTTCTGGCTGACGCCGCAGCCAAGTCACAGGCGCCGGCGTATGGTCGGATTCCATACCCGGCATTACACCGGGGGAGGTAGTGGCTGGGCAGCCCTCCCACCGAGCTCTCGCATCTCGAGCCCATCGCAGATCATGCGGCGTCTCTCCTGGATCCGATGCGACGGCTTTAACCGGCTCCATGTTTTCGCGACGCTCCTGGTCTTGTTGATGCGAAGTCCGGTACACTCCCGTATTCGAAGCGGGCGAACGCCCAGCCTCCGTCGCCGCCGCTCCGTCCGAGGAATTCGTCGCGGCTGCTCGCCAGCTCGGTTCCGCGGAAATGCTTTCTCTTCGATAGCTCTGTCCCGACCTTAGTCTAAATCTATCGTTCATTCTAGCTCAAAGAAATCCCGCAACCAGTCGCGGGTTCTTGCTTGTATGTTGAAAAGGCTCTAGCACCGTCCCTCGCTACTGAATCCCCCAACTGGGCTGACTGCCGGAAGAGCGGTGATGAAACCCCAAAATAGCTTGCTAGGATTGGTCCTTCCACTTGGCATAGGAAGAGTGATAGCGAAAAGATCTCAGAAGGAACATACAAGCAAGCAAATGCTACTGCTAGTGTTGCTTGCCTAAGTACTGCGGCTGGTTACCGTTGCGCTGCAACGGTTGCCTTAGATTTCGTCAGCCTGCCTCAGTTCCCGCTTTGGCGCTATTCGCCTCGGGTGTACGTCCATGTAATCCTACTCAATATAATCCTCTGTCATGCTTTTATGTTGCTATTGCCTACGGACTATTATCCAATTAAATGCATGACATCATGGATGGCGGACTTCGAAACACCCAACTCCTTTGCGATTTGACGGTAACTACGCCCCTCCGCAATTAGCTGCATGATGTGCTTCAGTTTCTCCACACTAAGGCGCTTCGTGCTGTGGGGGGGATAACGCTAAGCTAAGATTGTAAACAACACCCGTAATCGCCTCTGTACCTAACTATTCTAGATCTAACTGCGCTCGAAATAAAGCGCGGGACATTTCTGAAAGATTTGTCCGTGTGGGGTGTCGAGAGGGAAGTGCTGACTCGTTAGAGCTCCATCTTTTTTTGGGCTAGGAGGAGCCTACACAAACTGGTAACGCACGATGCGAACCCTGTATGCACTTAATATCATTAGAACACTTGTTTATTTTATGATTGGAAGCAATTTCCATTACAGATCGAATCCATAAGGACAATAATATCGTTCATTGTATTATTGTTGCCATGCATGCATTGGAGGTTAGTGCTGACGGTGACTGTTACTTGTGTGTGCCGCCTGACCCAGGTATAGAGGCTGCTGCCCTAGGTGCTAGTGAGTCTGCTCTCTCAGGTACTGCGCCTGCTGAGGCCTTGCACACCTTCACGTTTGACTCAGGTGC